TATGTCCTCCAGCAGTCTAAGCCTATAGCAGCATAACTATAGAGATAGCTCAGGATAACTCTTACTATAAGCTTTATCAAAAAGGAAAGTTTTAAGCATACCCTTAAAAATAGATGTACATAACAAAATAGTGTTCATTAATTTTTAAGGTTTTTTTTTCCAGGCTGATTTTCAGCAGGGATGCTGGACCCTTTGATTTTATTGCAAGGAATTATTAGGGCCTAACGTAAAACATAGAGAGACTTTATGGATGTTAGGATCACGACTATTAAGATTGCACATAAATGCACCATGCAAGCCCAATAAAAGCATGAATGATAAGTTTCTTATGGAAGGGCTGTCATCAGTGTGTGACCTTACAAATGATCCTCTGGTAGGATTTTTCCACACACTCAAGAAGAGTTAAAGCTGTTACAGTGGCAAATAGTGGTCTCACCTCATATTAAGCCATGAGGATTAAGCACATAATGGCTCTCCATGGGTGTAAAGGTAAGTGAGACCATTCTAGTGAATCTATGTAAACATCCCTGACCTGATGCCCGCCACCACGGAATTTAAAATCTAAAAATAGACAACTCCACATTAAGTATGTCACAAGTCTTCACTTTTTGATCCCAATTAAAGAAAATCTACTCACATCATTGACAGCAATCATTCTTTATGAACTTTATAATATGCATCCCAACATGAGTTAATGATTAAAACTTCTGGTCCCACTAGAACCTTCATTTGGCAAGGTTCTAGTGGGACCCATGCAACCCAAACCCATATTTTTTCACACTTAGCCAACATTTATTCATGTTTCCTACAGGAGAAGAGCAGATCTCATTAGACGACTGTTGTAAAGATGGCCAGAAGCATGCAAATGCTGACGAAGACTGTGCTTCCATCCCCCTCATTTCTGCTTCACCCACTTGCAGGTAAGAAGGTGCTTATTTGGTTTTAGTGGCTCAATTTATCTGACTTTAGAGGCACTGACAGACTCAATTAGAAGTCACTCTGTCTTGAAAGGTCCTTTGTCACAATCTTTCACTTTGTATCATCTTTTACATAAGTTCTACTAGTCTTATCTCCTTAGTTTCTAAAAGGTATCTTGCAGTAATTTTTAGGATAAGATTTCCTAACTCCTGTAAACGTCTGAACACATCTTTCATTCTACATGAAAGCAGGAAACACTTATAGTGATGGGATAATGACATGTCTCCCTGTAACCTTATAGAGGGTGTTCTCTCACAGTTTGAAAGCCCCTGGGCCAGAGAGCTGTAACGCAAACACGTATGGTAAATACATTTATCTCATTCGGCCTTACTTATTTCACATTTCGCTAATTTATGGTGTAACTGGAAGATTGGAGAGTTTACCTGGGTTGGAGAAGAGTGAGTGAGTGGTCAGAGAAGGTTACCAAGAGAGTCTGTTTCAGATCATATGCATACCTTAGAGGTAAAACTGCGAATTAACGTGGAGTGAAATATAGAGGAAAAGCCTGAACAATCACACCGACAGCCTTTTCTGAGAGGGAGTAGCACTGATCTAAAAAAACAATGAGCGCCTTCAACTTGACTCCCACCAAAAAAATATAAATTTAGTATTTGGAGTAATTTTTTTTCCTGGTGAGTACATAAACACCTGTTACGCCCACAAGGGCAAACCATATTTAAGGACACAGACAAAACTGAGGTTAAAAAAAAAAATTTATTTCTTATTTGTTCTTTTGTTTAACTCTCTCTATAAAGCCTCTTTTCTCAAGTCATCTGTGGGGATGTTCTGTAGAGAAAACAAAAAAAAAACAGAATTAAATATTCTTAGCTTCTGTGTCCAAAAAAGAAAACCACAAAACCCAAACTATTAACAGAAAATTGGACCTGGTGAGCCGCTCAAACTGTCTAAGCCCCTACTAGTACCGCACTACAGCAAAAAGAAACTACTAAAAGAAATAAAGAATCGAAAACAGGACAACCGGTCCCACCAGGCCAAAATCTGAATGAAAACAGCATCCAAACTAAGGGTAACAAAAATATTTTAAAAATATGGCAGGTCTGAGGTGTCAGCTGCAGCCTACAGCAACTGGGACTGGTGCATGTCATGATTTTATCCAAAGATCTGACCCACATGCAGAAAACCAAACAGAGAGACCAGGGGAAGGTTTAACAGGTTTATTATGAACTGGTAGATATG